CTACTCCAATGGTGCTCGATATTGAGGAGTTGCAGCGGCAGGTTAAGGCGGATCCGGAGCTCAACAAGACCTTAGAGGGGCTGTTGGATGGAACCCATTCGTCGACGGGATTTACTCTTCAACGCGGGCATCTACTTTACAATGGAAGGTTGGTCGTTCCTCCGAAATCTCCACTAATTCCGATCTTGTTGCGGGAGTTTCATAGTAGTAAAATCGGCGGCCATTCAGGGGTCTTAAAGACGTACAAACGGCTGGCTTTGGAATTTTTCTGGAGAAGAATGCGCAAGGATGTTGAGTCTTTTGTGGCTGCTTGTGCTGTTTGTCAGCAACATAAGACATCCACTTTGTGTCCGGCAGGATTGTTGCAGCCTTTGCCTATACCAAACCGGGTTTGGGATGATATCTCCATGGACTTTATCGAGGGGTTACCAAGGTCGGCGGGTTATAATTCCATTTTGGTTGTCGTTGATCGCCTCAGTAAGTACGGCCATTTCATTGGCTTAAAAACACCCGTTTTCTGCCACTACAGTGGCCACTGTTTTTGTCTGTGACATTGTGCGCTTGCATGGGTTTCCACAGAGCATCATCTCCGATCGGGACAAGGTTTTTATGAGCCATTTTTGGAAGGAACTTTTCAGGCTGTAGGGCACTACCTTGTGTCGCAGTATAGCGTATCATCCGCAAACGGATGGCCAGACGGAGGTCGTAAACCGATGCTTGGAGGCTTATTTACGTTGCTTTGTTTCTGGCCAACCACGACAGTGGTTTACACATCTTTCGTGGGCAGAGTATTGGTACAATACAAGTTTCCACGTGTCGACTGCCATGACACCATTCAAGGCTCTCTATGGGCGAGATCCACCACAATTGGTGCCTTATGAGATTGGTTCTACGGCCACTTCGGAGTTGGAGAGGCAGCTATGCGATCGTGATGCACTATTGACGGAACTGAAGGACCATTTGGGACGCGCCCAACAGTCTATGCGAGACCATGCAAATCGGAAGCGTCGTTTCGTGGAGTTTGAGGTAGGGGACATGGTTTACTTGAAGCTTCAGCCGTATCGCCACCGAGCATTGGCGAGAGTGAGGAATGAAAAGCTTGGCCCTCGCTATTATGGGCCGTTTCAGGTCTTGGCTCGAGTTGGACCAGTGGCATACCGGTTGCTCTTGCCTTCTCACGCTCAGATTCATTCCGTCTTTCATGTGTCCCGCTTGAAGAAGGCACTTGGGCCGGTGGATGTACCCCAGACTTTGCCTCCAATGTTATCAGACGATTTGACGTTGCAGGTGGAACCCGCTCAAGTCTTGGATACTCGTTTTTCGCCTACCACGGGGTCCTTGGAGGTTTTAATCCAGTGGCGCCACCTTCCGGACTTTGAATCTTCGTGGGAGCCGTTTGAGGTGATTCAGCGCCAGTTTCCAGCTTTCCACCTTGAGGACAAGGTGACGTTTTTAAGGGGGGGTGTAATTGATAAGCCCTTACTCAGGCAAGTGTATGTTAGGAGAAATAAAAGAGTTTAGGAAGGGACAGCTGTCTTAAGTGGCTGTGGTAGTTTGGTGTTAGTAGTTTAGTGGAAATATTAGTTAGTAGTTTAGTGGAAATATTAGTTTAGCTTACGGGGGAAGTTTGGGAGTGAGAAGAGGGAATTGTATAAAAGGGGAAAGAGGAGGGAAAAGCGGGGATCGGGGATTAAACAGAAAGTGAACAAGTCTTGGAACAATTCCAAGCAAAGGGAGGAAGCAGACCCTCGAAGTTCTGCCGATCTGTGTATAATCATTGTTTCAATAATATCCTTCGTTGATTCTTTCTCATTCTTTCGAATTGTGCAATTAGTTTCTTTAGTTCTTGACCGGATAAACTAGAGCTTATCAGAAACCCCTTTGAATTACTTTAAGACGTGCTTTCCTTCCTCTCGGCTATCCTATGATCTCCCACTTAGAGTGTTTGGGTGCACAGCATTCGTGTCCATGTCCATGATAATAATAGGGGAAAACTTGATCCTAGAGCAAAAAAATGTGCCTTTGTTGGTTACCCTTCAACTCAGAAAGGATACAAGTGTTTTGATCCCATATCCCAAAAATTTTTCATTTCTAAGGATGTAACCTTCTTTGAAGATAAACCATTTTTCAACATGCCTCATCTTCATGGGGGACATCTAGGGAAGATTCAAATTCCACCTTTGGTTGGTTATTAGATTATTTTTTATCTACCGCTAATGCTCGAATCTGAGAATGGTAAGGATACACTTCATGATTCTATCTCAAAAACGTGTGATGTCTCAAATAATGGAAACATGAATTGTTTTTCTGTGCCTTCAGAAAATCAGACTTAGGAAGGGATTGAGATGTGTGCGAGGCAAGGTGGTAACCGTTATAAAGGGATGGTCTATTCAAGGAAGTATCCAGAACGACAGAAAAAGACCAACAACTTGTAGCATAATCAAGAAACTAACCCAAGGGCAAATCCTGAGATTGAAGCTCAGTCAGGTAATTCTCAGTCTGAGTCAAGTCCTTTTGAGTTTGAGTCTTCTGAACCAGCTATCATATCAGAGTCTGATGAAAATCTAGATTTGCCTATTGCTATTAGGAAGGGAACTATAACGTGTACCAAATACCCGTTGTATAATTATCTGTCCTATCAGAGTCTATCTCCATCATTTCGTGCTTTTACTTCCAAAGTGTCTTGTGTTGTTCCTAAGAATATACAGGAGGCTCTAGGTGTTCCTGAATGGAGGGAGGCGGTCCTTGAGGAGATGAGAGCTCTTGAGAAAAATAGGACATGGGAGAAAGTAGACCTTCCAGAAGGAAAGACACTAGTTGGATGTAAGTGGGTGTTTACTGTGAAGTACAATTCTGATGGGTCACTTGAAAGATACAAGGCATGATTGGTCGCCAAGGGGTTTACACAGACTTATGGCATCGACTATTCTGAAACTTTTTCACCAGTTGCCAAACTAAATACTGTGAGAGTGTTGCTTTCAATTGCAGTTAACTTGGACTGGTCTCTACATCAACTAGATATCAAGAATGCTTTCCTAAATGGAGATCTAGAAGAGGAAGTCTACATGGAAGCTCCCCCGGGTTTTGTTGAGAGCTTTGGGAAGAAATGTTGCAGGTTGAGGAAGTCACTATATGGACTCAAACAGTCCCCAAAGGCATGGTTCGATAGATTTACGAGGTTTGTAAAAACTCAAGGGTTCTTACAGGGGCAAGCTAATCATACCGTGTTCGTGAAAGTCTCTGCTAAAGGTAGAATTGCAGTTTTAATTGTCTATGTAGATGACATTATTCTCACTGGTGATGACCTCGAGGAAATCTGTAAACTAAAGAAGAGCCTTGCCACCGAATTTGAGACGAAGGATCTAGGACCTCTTAGATACTTCCTTGGACTGTAAATTGCTAGGTCTAAGAAAGGTATAGTAGTTTCCCAATGGAAGTATATCCTAGACCTATTGGAAGAAACATGAATGAGTGGGTGTAAACCATCAGATACTCCTATGGAGTTTAACTCAAAGCTTGGAGAAGTTAAAGAAGGAGTTCCTGTAGACACCGGTCGACACCAACGTTTGGTAGGGAAGTTAATCTATCTGTCTCATACTCGACCAAATATTTCTTTTGCAATCAGTATGGTGATTCAATTCATGCATTCTCCCTATGAAGAACACTTGGAAGCAGCCTATAGAATTCTAAGATACTTGAAGGGGACTCCAGGAAAAGGATTACTGTTTAAGAAAAGCAATCAACGAAAGATTGAAGTCTACACTGATGCAGACTGGGCAGGATCTGTGACGGACAGGAGATCTACCTCAGGTTATTGTACTTTTCTATGGGGAAACTTAGTGACATGGAGGAGTAAGAAGCAAAGTGTTGTGGCTAGGAGTAGTGCTGAAGCCGAATATAGGGGGATGGCCCTAGGAATTTGTGAGATTCTTTGGCTGAAGAGAATCCTAGAAGAACTGAACCAACCGGTGGAGCTACCAATGAAGCTATTTTGTGATAATAAGGCAGCAATTAGTATTGCGAATAATCCAATACAGCATGATCGAACGAAGTACGTGGAGATTGATAGACACTTTATTAAGGAGAAACTGGAAAATGAAGTTATCTGCATACCTTTCCTGCCTACAACTCAGCAAATTGCCGATGTCTTCACCAAAAGTCTACTTAGACAAAATTTTGAGTTCTTTGTAAGCAAGTTGGGCATGATAAACATCTATGCACCAACTTGAGGGGGGTGTCGGTAAATTAGGAATGTATAGCTGTCCTAATTCTGTCCAAATATAGAGGAATGATGAGGATTGATAGCTAAAGTCAAGGGATTAGAATATTAGGCAGTTTCCGTTTATTTTGACTTGTTTACTTATTTGTTTTACTTTCCTTATTTTGCTATTCTCTAGCTCATCTATATAAGGAGGCCGGTTTATGTAAGAATTAGAAGAGAAATAAGAGTGCTCAATTCTGTCCTAAAATACCTTCAATATCTAAACACCAACAGTAATGGACAAGAAAAAACAACAAAGTAGCAAAACTAAAAGTCTCAGTCCTAACGTCACAAGTTCTAATCGTCATTAACACAACAAGCCCTTCATACTTGAAGGAATTTCAAATATAAATTTCCCTAAGGAATTTCAAATATAAATTCCCCTACAACACTCAACTATAACAAAAGTCGTCCAAAGAACAAATAATTCTGCCACAAGAAACCAATTAAAACAGGCAACTTGAGCAATTTCTGCCTTTCTTTCTTTCTTTCTTTCTTTCTTTCTTTCTTTCTTTCTTTCTTTCTTTTTTTCATTTTCAATGTGGGTAGATAGAAAATGCCAAATAAAATTCCACCATTTCCAAACAGAAACCCCAAATCAAAGTACATAGGAACATGACTAGATTGAAGACTTCCAAACCGTAATCCATAAACCATACTAGACAACAATCATCAAAAAACATAAGGAAACCCACTTATCATATGAAAAGTATCAAAAAGTTTGAAAATTTGTAAGAACCTGGGAAATGTGGTTTCCAATTACGAAGGAGGGAATAGAGAAGAGTCCTCATCATGTGGAGACGATTAAAGTAAATCTGACTATACTGCTGACCCCTGTAAGTCTCTTTCTCAATCTCAAACTTCTCATCCTACCAAATCATAAGAAAAAGAATAGAAAACACTTTTAAAGAAAAGCTCAAATATTCAAAAGATTGAAACTGAAATAAACACAAAATCACCGAATTTGTCAACTTTGGTATGTAATTGACGCATGAACTAGTGAAAACCGTGGGAAAAGCGTTGCGAACTTGGATTTAGCTCGTAAATTTTCCAGGGTTTTCTAATTCCCGATGTTTCTCGACAACCAAACGGAAAGAACAAAACACGAAACAAGCTTTTCTTTTTCCTCAATTTTGTAGGAAAATAAACAGCGAAAAGCAAGTACTGACCAAGGAGTTATAGGCAGATTGCTTCCTCTGGAGAGCTTTCTCGGAATCGATTTCCATGGCTTCCATGGCGGGAAAACAAGCACTGACTCGCAACAATTTCACACTTCTGATCTCAGAATACTCGAAGGCATTTATAGTTGTATGGATTTAAATTTAAATTTATAATTTATTTTTGCCAAAGAAACTTGATGTGGATGTAGCTCAAACGGTAGAGCGCTCGCTTTGCATATCATTTTTTTGATTGGGTTAATTTCAATAATAACACTCTTTTAATAAATGATTATTAATTTTATTATCATTTTTATATACTTTCATAATTATTATTATTATGTGTATGAGGTAAAATAACTTCTGTGTCATGTAAGTTAAAATAATCATTTAAAAGCACATCAAACAAATCTTAATTCTCTCCCGTTCATTTTTTCTCTCACTATACCCCATTTCGGCTCTCTCTCTCTCTCTCTCAAGTTTGGCCTCTCTCTACTCGGTCTCTCTCTTCCCTACGCCCTCATTCCCTCATCGCCAATACTCCGGTTGTGCACCAGATCAAGGTTGGTACACAATTTTTTTTATTTTTCTTTTATTTTTTCTTTTTAAATTTATTTTTCGGGAGACTTAGTACATAGAACTCGAAAAAATGACTGGGTTGAACTTAATGTGATAGGAATTGATACTATCCTTCGTCAATTTGAGATTTTGGATGGTTTATAATTGATATGTAAACTGATTGTAATGACTACCACGTCAAAGACATAGTTGACCTTGGGAGTCAGAGTATTATGACTCATAGTGTAATATGTCCGGTCATAATATTATGACCAGTCAGTCATAATAGTATGAGTCATTGTCTATGAGTGAAAATGGCCGGTCATAGTCTGGTCATAGTATTATGACCGGCCATAAGGCAGTCATAGTGATATGACCGTCCAGTCATAATATAATGACTGAAATTAGGGCCGGCAATTTCGGACACGACATGATGAAATGATATGAAAACGACACGAGATAAATGGGTTTAGACCGCACAATTATTAATTAGGTCGTTAACGGGCTGGCATGAATAACACGAAAATAAATGGGCTGAATTCGTGCCAGCCCATTTAACACGCTTAACCCGTTTAGTTATACATGCCGTTATCGGGCCGATACGGTCCGGCCCGGCCCGACCTGTTTATTAAGCCCATATATATGTTTATATATATATATATATGTAAATTTTCTAGAAAGAAACTCTTTTCTATTATTTTCGGAATAGTAAAAAATAAGAATAAATAGGCAAAGGAAAAAACCTTATCTTCCTAAAAGAAACTATCCTAATTAAAGATAAACTCTAAAGATAAACTCTAAAGATAAACTCTAACCTAAGAAACCTTATCTCTAATGATAAACCATTTATCTTCTATTTTATTTAAATTCAAATACAAATATTTTATCTAACCGACAATATATATATATATATATATATATATTAGACAAAACTATACTTTTAACTTAGTCTCTTAAAACTAATTTTAGTTTTTAGAGCGTAGTTGGGCATTCAACCTCAAGGCTCAAAGAAGACATTTTTCTATATTTATTTTATGTTTTATGCACTTAAACATTCAAATGTTTGGTTATGTTTTTAAACTTATTTAAATGTACTTGGCTATGTTTTCAAACTTCTTTAGATGTTTGGTAATTGATATGTTTTGAAACATATATACTTGATAATCTAGTAGTATCATATATATATGTGTGTGTTTGATATTTGGATATTTTAATGTGTGTTGGCTATTATGCATGCTTTTATATTAAGTAGTCAATTAATATAGTTTTGAATACAATATAAAATTCCACTATTTTTGCTAGTTGGGTCATAAACGGGTCATAAACATGTTTTTTTCGTGTCAGCCCGTCACGGCACATTTAGTAATTATGTTCGCGTGTCGTGTCATGTTAACCGTGTTATTAGCGTTTCGTGTTCGTGTTTGGGTTTTTGACACGTTTATTAATCGTGTCGTGTTCGTGTTCACTATAATCGTGTCGTGCCGTAATCGTGCCAGCCCGAACACGACACGCAAACACGAATTGTCAACCCTAACTGAAATTACCCATAGTGTTATGACTGGCACACAATGACTGCCTTATGACCGATGACGACTAGGAGTAATTGCATGTTGATTAACAGTTATTGTTTTTGAAATTATTTAGGAATGGCTGCTGGATTGAATGTCTTCATCAAGTACAATGGACATTGGGACCATGCTTCGAGATACGTCGGTTATGAAATGAAGGGGATATTGGTCCCCACCAACACAACTTATATTGGTCTTATAGATATGGTGAGAAATGTGCTTGGGATTTAACCACAAGGAAAAAGTTTATCCTTAAATTATGTTGTTGAAGATGGGGAAGCTCCTGTGAAGATATCGTCTGACTATGATGTCACATTCTACCTGCAATTGAAGAAGATGGATGTTCACTCGCTCAATAAATTTCCAATATGTGTCGATATAGTGGACGAGTCAGTGGCCGAAGCGTTGCCACCTGAGATAGGAGAAAGCAACCACATTCTGGTGAAACGAACATCCGTTTCATGTCATAGTGATGAAGCCGAGCAAAATATTGGTGTCGGCAATATCAGCGCGGATTTTGAAAAGGTATATGAAATGGACGATGAAGATGAATTTCCCATTCCTCCAGTACCATTATCGATGGAATATGATAGAATGGATTGTGACCACCAACATCACAAAGAACCTGATTCTTTTGATCTAGAAGGTAGTGACAGAAATAAGGGAATAAGCAATGGAGGAAGTGGTGGAGCCCAATCTGTTGTCGATGGATCCAAAGTCCTATATGATCCTGTACAATTTTCATATGATTTTTTTGGCGGAGAAGTCATTGATGATTGTACACCAAGATCTATGCGTGTGAAGAACATTTATAACAGTAAAAGGTTGTTACAGTACCATCTTCATCATGATGCCATGAACAAACACTATCAATTTAAGGTGAAGAGGTCGAGCACTATTTTGTTGCATGTGGTATGTGTTGACGATAAATGTCAATGGCAGGTTCGCGCTACTAGAATGAAGGATAGTAAGGTGTATGTTGTCAAACGGTATGATGAAATACACACTTGTTCTATTGAAATTGTTCAAGGTCACCATCACCAAGACAGTAGTTGGATGATCGGGGAGTGTGTGAAAACAAATTTTGTGTATCTGACAAGCACTTCATATTGACCTCGTGAGGTTATGAGGGACATGTAGGGTGAATTTGGAGTGTCATTCAATTATCTAAGAGCTTGGAAGGGAAAGGAAGCAGCCATACACAGCCTTCGTGGTTACGATGCAGAATCATACCAAGGTAACTAAATTTTTGAAATATACACTGTAATTTGACTATGCTTATGAGTTTAACATGCAACATGTTTAATTGGCAGTCTTACCTTCATGGGTGAAATGGTGATGAAGAAAAATCCTGGATTAGACATTTACATTGAGACAGATGCAGATGATCGATTAAAATACTTCATGTGCTTGGCTACATCGAAGCAGGGTTGGCATCATTGTCGTCCAATAATTGTTGTTGATGCTTCAGCCTTAAAGGCTAGGTTTGGTGGAACATTGCTTGCAGCATGTGGCCATGACGTAAACGGCTCAATATTTCCAATTGCGTTTTGTATCGGTGACTCAGAGAATAATGATTCATAGGAATGGTTCTTCACTAAGTTATGAGAATCAATAGGCATGCGAGATGAGCTTGCTATTGTGGCTGATAGGCATACGAGTATTGAATATGCAGTCAAGAAGGTGTACCCAGAAGCTGATTTTCGGATATGCGTTCAACACTTGGCTAGAAATTTGAAAGTAAAGTTCAAAAGGTTTAACGGCACTATGAAGACATATTTTAATGGTGCTTTGAGGACATATCTTAGAAGTGAGTTTTTCTGTCAGATGGGATTCATCGAAAAGGGTAACCCTACCATACATCGTTACCTTATGGATGCAGATCATGTAAAATAGTCTTGTACGTTTTTCAATGGATGACGGTATGCAATAATGACAACCAACATTGCTGAGTCATTCAATAATGTGGATCGGAAAGCCAGGTTAATGCTTGTAGGTTAGTTGGTTGAATAATTAAAAGAGTTCTTACAGAGATGGTTCGTTGAGAGACACGAAGCCACCCTTAAATATTATTCCACCCTATCTCCGATAGCAGATAAACGTGTTCGGGAGGCATTTTCTATGGGTCTACCATTAACGGTGAGCTAGTAACGATAATACTGACTATTTGTAGTGAGTTATGTATTGACTTGTCAAGTAAACATATACCCATATTTTCATCTCAGGTAAGAGCAGTGGATCAATTTGAGTACTCTGTCACCAACTCATTTGCTAAGACCTGGATTGTGTCCATGAGAGGACATGTACCTGCAGGCAATTTCAGGTGGACCAACTGCCATGTCCCTATGTTATGGCTGTGTGTAACTGATGACAAATGAGTTCGGAAAATTATTGCTCCAAGTACTACACAAAAGAGGAACTTTTTGCAACCTATCAAGGAGTTTTTAATCCAATTGGAAGCTCGAAAGGATGGGAGGTTGATGAAAAAATCAGGAATCGAGTTGTGAACCCTCTCAAAATAAAGCGTCAGCCCGGAAGACTTCCTGTTAACATGATTTTATCCCAAGGTGAAGAACCTAATACAATCAAGTGCGATAGATGTCATTCTTATGGACACAGCCGTAAAACCTGTACGAATCCAGTGCCACTCCACCCCAAGGTCATCAGTGAGCTCAAAAAGTTTCTAGTGACTCTTTTATGTGTGTTTCGTTTAATTAAACTTCCATGTTGTATAATAAGACATTAATTTGATTTATTCATACATTGCAAAGAATCATGTGAGGCTATACAAAGAATCATGTGCAGTTATATCTACAACCATCGAGTGCTATACATAGTTACAAAGAATCATGTCAAGCTATGCATTGCAAAAAATCAAAAAATCAAGGCAAAGCCTCACTTTCATAGCCTTCTTTTAAAAAATGAAGTTAGCATTGTCTTCTCAAAAAATCAAGCATTATTTTCATAGGCTAAGCATCCCATGCATCGTCTTGTTCAATATCACTTTCACAATGCTCTTTTTCTTTCC